AGCTTTGCAAGATCTCAAAGCGGATTCCAGCCCTTCTGACGGCAAAACGTCTCTCCCTCCGCCAAACCAGTCTCTCCAGGCAGGTCTGTTTCCAAGAAGGAAATGGGGATGGGGAAGAAGACCAAGAAGATGCCTCTCTGGAAGAACCGATCTGCTGGGGGCAGGGAACGCGGGGCAGGGACTTCCATCATTACAGGGCTGCCAAGAAGTATTGTCCTCTTGGCAGATGGATTGGAGCCTTGCTGAGCCCAGTAGGAAGGCTGGCTGGTTGGGGAGAGAAGAAAAATCAGAGCAGAGGAGAGGAAAGAGCGGTAGGAGGGGAGGGCATGGAGGGAAGGGGTGAAGCTCGGAAAGTTCAAAGGCTTTGAATAAATATAAGACATAATGATGTCCCCACCTTTATTTTTCCACTCCAGCTGAAAAGCAGAAGCAACTGAGACCATATAACCTCATATTAGTCTCATATATATATATATATGTATATATTGTGAAATGATCACCCTAATAAATTAACATCCATCCCCACACAAAGTTACAGTTCTTTCCTTGCACTTTGTACTCTCTCAGCGACTTTCAAATATGCGATACAGTCTCATCAACTCCAGTTCCCGTGCTGTACATGGGATCCCCAGGAATTATTCATCTTATAACCGGAAATCTGCCCCCATACTCATTTCATGCGCCCCCATCCCAGCCCACCTGCCTCCAGCAACCAGCCATCCATTCTCTGTATCTGGGAGTTCATTTTTTTTTTCGAAAAGATTCCACAATTTGGCTATTGTGGACATTGCTGCTATGAAATTGGGGTGCAGGTGCCCTTTCTTTTCACTATGTCTGTATTTTGGGGGTAAACCCCTCGTAGTGCAATTGCTGGGTCGTAGGGTAGCTCTATTTTTAACGTCTTGAGGAACCTCCACACTGTTTTCCAGAGTGGCTGCACCAGCTTGCATTCCCACCAACAGTGTAGGAGGGTTTCCCTTTCGCCGCATCCTTGCCAACATCTGTTGTTTCCTGTCTTGTTAATTTTGGCCATTCTGACCGGTGTGAGGTGGTATCTCATTGAGGTTTTGATTTGTATTTCCTTGATGCCGAGTGATGTTGAACATTTTTTCATGTGTCTGTGTGGTGATGAGCACTGGATGTTACACGCAACTAATGAATCATTGAACACTACATCAAAATCTAATGACATACTATGTGTTGACTGATTGAACATAAAAAAAAAAGATTCCACATATCAAGGAGATCATACAGTATTTGTCTCTTCCTGCCCAACTTACTCCACTTTACATAGTGTCCTCAAGGTCCGTTCATGTTGTCACAAATGGCAGGATTTTTTTTTTAAAGATTTTATTTATTTATTTGAAAGATAGAGAGAGTGAGAGAGAGAGCCCAAGAGGGGGTTGGGTCAGAGGGAGAAGCAGACTCCCTGCTGAGCAGGGAGCCCGACGTGGGACTCAATCCTGGGACTCCGGGATCATGACCTGAGCCGAAGGCAGTCGCTTAACCAACTGAGCCACCCAGGCACCCAAATGGCAGGATTTTTTAATGGCTGAGTGTTGTTCCATTGCATATATAGAATCACCTTTTCTTTATCCATCCATCCATCCATCCATCCATCCATCCATCCATCCATCCATCCATCTGTGGACACTTAGGTTGCGTCCATATCTTGGCCTTTGTGAACAGGGCTGCAGCGAATGTGGGGACGTGCATACCTTCAAGTTAGTGTTTTCCTTTCCTTTGGACAAATACCCAGAGGTGAAATTGCTGGATCATATGGTGGTTCTAGTTTTAATTCTTTGAGGGGCCTCCATACTGTGTTCCACAGTGGGTGCACTGATTTGGGCAACTTTTTAAAAGACTGCTGATTTCCTGGCCGCATTCCGGCAAGAGTCTGAGTCAGCGCATGTGGGGTGGGGCCCAGGAGTCTGGATTTAAAGCTTCACAGCTGATTCAAAGCCCAGTCAGGATGGAGAACAGCCGGTAGGTGTCTCGTTCTCTCTCCCACCCCTTGGCCTCAAGGACTCAAGTGCTCCCTTCCTGTTCTGCTCTTGGGTTATGATAGAACATACCAGCTGTGTGCTTAGGAAAGAGCTTTTAATTCACTTTTAATGAATCATATGACAGGTTTTGCTGGGAGTGGGGTGTTCTCCCAAATGCAGGCCAACGTTGCCCTAACATGGCCACAAACCGAACCCAGTCCCTCCCTGGTCAGCTCCTAGAACACCCTCCATCTCCGGAATGTCTCCCTCCCAAGAGAGCTTGAGAAAGAGTGTGGGTGACTCGGTGTCATTGTGCTGGTGGCCTGTCCAGAAGCAGGGCAGGAGGGTATCATGTCATTGCATAAGACTGGCCATCTAGGGAGCGCATGAGTGGCTGTCAGTTGAGTGTCCGACTGTTGATTTCGGCTCAGGTCATGATCTCGTGGGTCATGGGATCAAGCCCCTCATGGAGCTCTGAGCTCAGCGGGGAGTCTACTTGAAGATTCTGTCCCTCTGCCACCACCCCACCTCTCCAATAAATAAATAAATCTTTAAAAAAAAGACTGGCCATCCATGGGCATGGTTCACATTCTGGAGCAAGGCCAGACAAAGGCAGGGCAGGACTTTTGGTGGACAGTTCAAGTGCTCAAGCAGTCATCATCTTGACCAGTGCCTTCTTTCTCCGGACACATTTAAAGGACACCAGAGAGGAACACCTGGGTGGCTCAGTCGTTAAGCGTCTGCCTTCGGCTCAGGTCATGATATCAGGGTCCTGAGAGTGAGCCCCACATCGGGCTCCCTGCTCTGCGGTAAGCCTGCTGCTCCCCCTGCCTGTGTTCTCTCTCTCTCTTTCTGACAAATAAATTTTAAAAATCTTAAAAAAAAAAAAAAAAAGGCCACCAGAGAAATGAGATAGAGCCTGCTAGAATGGCCACAGAGGTGTCAGCCAGAGGTGAAGGGAACTAAGAGGTACAAACTTCCAATATCAAGTAAATGAGTCCTGGGGATGTAACGTACAGCATGGGGAATATAGTCAAAAATATTATAATGACTTTGAAGGGTGACAGACAGTAACTAGACTTATTGTGGGGACCATATTGTAATGTATAAACATATCAGATCACTATGATATACAGAATATTGAATGTCACTTAAGCTTCAATTAAAAAAAAAAAAAGTGTCAGCCAGATGCCCTGGCCTCAGCAAGACCAGCTTCAGCTTCTCTGCCTCCCAGCTGGGCTTGGCCATGCCCCCCAGTTAATATTTTTTGAGCCTCTACTATGTGCCAGGCATTGAGCTAAGTGCTTCCCACGCATTCATGCCTTACTGAGTCCTCACAATCAACCCGTGAACGAAACCCTTCTATTATGCCCATTTTACAGATGTGCAAAGTGAGGCCAGCCTATACAACTTCCTTGTGGAAAGAAACAAAGACCATCCAGATGAAGACAAACACGTTTTTCATTCAGAGCTTGCTACAGCAAGAGAGGCAGCCACTCTCATTTGTGTTTGGCAGAGACTCACAGACAGGCCAGGGATTGGGGGAGCCCCAGAGTGGACAAAAGGGAAGGCACAGGTGTGCTTCTGTTGGAGGGGGTTGGCATGGAGAAACAAGCATCTTGTGTGTTTGATTTGGGAATATAGTTGGCTCTCTCTGGTTGATCCTGAGTTGGAAAAGGGAGGAAAAAATAGGAAGCTGGCAGTCTCCAACCAAGTCGTGATGGTTCTGGGCTAGTTGCTGCCAGGACCGTGGGTCAGAGTTCTCTTGTCATCTACAGCCTGGCCATTGTCCATTTGCATTTCAGTCTCTCATCCCTGCATGCTCCAGCTCTCGTCCATCCCTACAGAAAAGCTCTTCTTGCCAGAGTGAAATCTTGGTCACCATTCAGATGCCAACTCTGTGCTAAGATTTCTGCAGGCTCCCCTCAACACACACCAGAACCTCCCCTCCTTTGAACTGCTAGCACTACTCTATTCTGCTTCAAAGTGGAGTTATAAGAACCTCGAGAGCGGCTGCATACTGAATGTCTCCGGTCACGCCTTCTGTGGGCTCTGCAGACTGTCTGAAGGCTTATTTGCAGCCATGGAAGGCTGCAGAACGTGCGCCCCTCCCCACAACTGGCAATGACCCATGGAGAGGGGCTGTGATGCTGAGGAGGTGGGTCTTACACCACTTTCCAGAGACATCAGCTCTAATTGCTCTCTGCCCGATGATGCTCCCTTACTGGCTACCTTCCTTTGCCTTGTATCACCTCTCCATCCTCTTGAGGTTACTCCCTGTACCTCCCGCACATAATCTTGGCACTCAAATCTTCATTTTGGGGTCTGCTTCCAGAAAAACCCCAAGTGGAAAGGGCTTATTGTATCCATTTTACAGATGAGGGAAACTGAGGCTCAGAGAACTTTAGTGACATATGTCAATGTCATGCAGCTCATGAGCTAGGATTGGTACTAAACCCACACTGCTCTTGATTTGTGAGTGTGTGTGTGTGTGTGTGTGTGTGTGTGTTATTTTTCTCCCTAATTCTCTGAAGCCAGAGACCATCTTTTTCATTTAATAGCCTTGTGGAATAATATGCTTGGTTGAAAATTTTTTAAAAATTTAATTGGAGGGGCGCCTGGGTGGCTCAGTCAGTTAAGCGACTGCCTTCGGCTCAGGTCATGATCCTGGAGTCCCTGGATCGAGTCCCGCATCAGGCTCCCTGCTCGGCGAGGAGCCTGCTTCTCCCTCTAACCCTCCCCCCTCTCATGTACTCTCTCTCTCTCTCATTCTCACTCTCTCAAATAAATAAATAAAGCTTTAAAAAAAATTTAATTGGATCCAGCTGTGCATGAATGTTTTACAAAGTTTACAACAGGACTCCCAAGAGTGGGCCAAGACCACTCCTAGGATGCCCCGGGCTCAGGCTGCCTTTAACCCCTTCCGATGGGCAACTCGGGATGCTCTCTGGGCCACACACTCCATTGTTCATACTCTGACCCTGTCCCTCTAGGAAGAGAACAAGCAAGACACAATCACCTTCAAAGGGAAATCACATTTTACTTGGATCGTTATTTGAGAAGAGCAAGTCTTTCCACACTCTTGACATCTCCATCACATGGTATCTCATACATAGGGGGAAAAAAACAAAAAAACCCTGGAATCCCTCTCCCCCTACAGTCCCCACTCCGTCTTCCCATCCTCAAATGTAGGGAAAGACCAGCTTTAAAGGCATAGCAGGTCTTTGTCCCTAAAGCAGCACAGAGCAGGCCATTCCACAAAGCGGACCACCTCCTCCAAACCTTATCTTCCCAAAGGAATTGATCCTCCAGGACCGTTTTATTACAAAAGGCAATGAGTCCCTAAAAACTTCATTACGTACAGCTTGTGAGACTCGTGCAAGGAAGGCTGGGATCTGGCGGCGCCTACGGCAAAGGAGCCCCGTATTTTCTCGGATTTTTATTCATCTGGGTTTCTGGAAGTGGGACAAGCTGGGGGCATCGGCAATGTGATGACGAGCTGCAGCTGTCGACAGGTTGCCCGTACCCAGACAGACAGACAGACAGTCAGCCCGCAGGGTCCCACAAGCCCAGAGGACCCACAGAAGCCAGCTACAGGCTAAGTTTTTAGGTGCCGGCCAAGTGTGTCTGCAGGTCGGGCCTCATGCCCCTGGGTTCTGATGGAGCCTGGGAAGCAGAGAAAGCCTACCCCCTTCCTTCCAGAATCTTCTCCTCCAGCTCAGGGAAGGCAAGGGGCCCAGGACGCTTGGAGTGGTTGCTCAGCCTCCCCTGCCTCGGGTTTCGTTTTACAGACTGATGTTAGGAAACAGGAACATTCGCTCTCCCCCTCTTACCGCTGGCTCATGGGCCCCAGGCGGAGGGCCAGGGGGCAGTTAGATGGACGTGGTGTTGCCAGGGTTCCCCTGCACTGGAGCTTTGGTGCTCATTGCCCTGACCCCAGGGGACGCCGTCTTCTGCCTGACATCCAGCTTCTTCATGTACTTCTGGACCCAGGAATGCCTGGGGTCGCCACAGAACTTCTGGCCTTTCCTGGTAGTGAAGCTGTGGGAAGGGTGACAAGGGCACACTTGAGAGGTGGCAGGGACCTCGGACCACTTCCCCAGACGAGCAGGGAGTGTGGAGGCCCGCAGAGGGGCAAGCTGCTGCCCGGGGGGGCTTCCTAGCAAGGTCCTGACACACAGTCCTCTCCCTGCATGTCTGCATCTCTGCACATCCTCGGCAACCTCCCTGTCCGATGTGGGAGGCCCGGCCCTGCCTTCAGAAAATGCTGGATCTGAAGAGAGAGACACAATTTCTACCCACAGGGAGGAGAGGAGAGGAGAAAATGCATTGAAACCCCCCAGGAAAAAAGGCAGATACCTCCAATTCACACGTCTTTCGGGGAAAGGTGACTCATAAAGATGCCAGAGCAGGGAGGGGGCGGTGCCAAGCCAGCTCTGAGCTAGGGGGTGCCAGGGGGCGAAATTACTCATGATACCAAGGTCACATTTCTACAGCAGGCCGCTGTTACAGAATAAGCTCACACTTGCTGTCTTGTGTGAGAGGCAGCTATGAAGTTATCTGGAGTCCCAGTGACCTTGAGCGGATCACCTCTCTGGGCCTCAGTTGTTACCTGTAAAATGGGCATAATCCTATCTAGCTCACCGAATGGTCCAGAGGGTTAGTTACAATCATGGTATACGTCCCCAGATAGTGCCTAGTATATGTGGTGACCCGGAGGCTCATCTCTCCCTGCCCCTCTCCTGCCGGTTGTCCAGGGAGAGGGAGATACTCACATCACTCCTGCCACAGGGCAGACACTCGCACTGGACAGCTGGTAGCTAACCACTCGGTTCTGAGGAACTTTCTTGGATATGAAGGATATGCAGCAGGAAGAGGGGATGGGCACAGAGCCTAAAAGACGGGAGAGAGAACCATGTTCTTTCCCAGCCTGTCCAAGGCCTGGGCTTCAGGGATGGAGCACGTCCCCTACACTAACACCTCCAGACAGCTGCCCCTCAGCATTCCCCTCCAAACCCAGCCTGGTCAGTCCTCCACCCTCCGCTGTGCCGTCCAGCCATGCTCTCGGCATGACTGACCTGCCTGATAGCCCGGGGCTGAGTTGGAGGTCGTACCTGCAGGGTCAATGCGGTGGGCACATAGGGTCAGAAGCAGGAGGCTAGCCCCAAGGGTCGCAAGGCCTGCCATGTGCCGGAGAAGCAGTTCAGGACCTAGAGCTGGGGTGCAGGAGGAGAGGGCCAGGTTCCTTTCAGACCACCCCAACCTCCCTCTGCCTTTTATAAGGGCAGTTGGGAGGAAACATGCTCTGACTGAGCCTCCCCCACACCCTCCAGATTGCCTTGAAAGTCCTCGAGGCCTATGAATTCTGAGAAGCGGAAGTGGTTGCCTAGCTGAGTCAGGGGTTATGTGGCGTATTCTAACAAAGGCTCGGGGAAGAGAGGATTGCCTCGCCTAAGTGAAGTGCAGAAGCTTTGGATGCAGAGTCAGAAGGCTAATGAGGATCCTTGGTGTGCCGTTCATTCCCTGTGGGATTCTGGATAAGTCACTCACCTATCTGAGCTTTAGTTCCTTGAGCTGAAAATGGGTAAAGTCACCCTATCTCCTTCCATTCATTCATTCATTCATTCACCAAGTCTTTGGACGGGGGGCAGCAGAGGGAGAGGGAAAGAGAGAATCTCAAGCAGGCTCCACACCCAGTGGGAACCCCGATGCGGGGCTCCATCTCACAACCCTGAGATCATGATCTGAGCCAAAACCAAGAGCCAGACGCTCAACTGACTGAGCCACCCAGGTGAATATCAGTTGATATTCACCAACTCTTTTTTTTTTTTTTAAAGATTTTATTTACTTATTCATGAGAGAGAGAGAGGCAGAGGGAGAAGCAGACTTCCCGCAGAGCGGGGAGCCTGACGCGGGACTCGATCCCAGGACCCCGGGATCATGACCTGAGCCGAAGGCAGACGCTTAACCATCTGAGCCACCCAGGCGCCCAATATTCACCAACTCTTATTAGGCTATGTGCTATGTGCCAGGCTTCCGGTGGGGAGACAGATATGCGGGCAAGTGTGCGTAAGAAGCAATTACAGGTGCTGACCGAGCGGACGTGGAGCAGAACAGACACTCTTGTTGTTCATGTGCCCTTGGACCCCTTCACCTTGTTTGCACACACTGGCTTTTGGTGACCTTGCATTCCTAGTGCCCAAGCTGCTGAAGCCACCTAGCCGGCAGGCTCTACGAAAGTGGGAAATACCTAGAAATCTATATCCTCGGGGCAGACCTTGACATAGGTCTGCTGGAGGGATACAGACTCCAGATATAGCATGACCTACACTGCTTCCTGAGACCCCGATTGGGTCAAGCCAGTTTCCTTCTGTGCAGCAGGACTCTGCTGACCCCCCTTCCCTCCTGGGTCTGCTTCCCCTCTGCCCTGTTGGTTTCCCCTGGAGGCACTGCCTAATGAACCACTTGCCCGCAAATCCTCCTTTCAGGGTCAGTTCTGAGAACCCCAGCCTGAGACAAGGGGTGTAGGTGGGGAGGGGGGATCATTGAAGGAACTGGCCAGCTCTGCTGGAAGGAAATTGGGGGATGCGCTTGGAATTGATGGCTGTGCTGAGGTTTGGACAGTCAAGAAACTGGTAGCTGCGGGCGCCTGGGTGGCTCAGTTGGTTAAGCGACTGCCTTCGGCTCAGGTCATGATCCTGGAGTCCCTGGATCGAGTCCCACATCGGGCTACCTGCTCAGCGGGGGGTCTGCTTCTCCCTCTGACCCTCTTCCCTCTCGTGCTCTCTGTCTCTCATTCTCTCTCTCAAATAAATAAATAAAATCTTTAAAAAAAATTAAAAAAAAAAAGATTCTCTTTAAAAAAAAAAAAAAGAAACTGGTAGCTGCAGGAGGGCTTTGTAGGTCATGTTGAACAATGCTGTTCTTAGGAACCGAGGTGACCTTGGCAGACAGAGTGGAATATGGCACCCACTTCACTCTGTCCCCCATTCCAGGTCCCAGACTGGGACCCCATATTTGGACTTTTGTCAGCTGCTGATTCCATTTCCAGCCCCTCCCTCCAATGTTCTCCATTCCATTTCTCATGGGAATGAATCCTCAGCTTTCTCTGGCCTCCCTGCTCTGGCCATCCAGGGCATGCAAGCACACACCGATGGAGGAGCTCACTGCCACACGTCACCCGGATTACAGCCAATTGTGTGTCTCTGTCTCCCATGGGACCACAAACACCAAGATCGATGTCCCATTTCCATGCCCACCAATTCCCATGCAGGTCAGCTATTGCATGGCCAGTGTTTTTAGAATGAATATATGATGGACCAACTCTGACCAAGGACTCCTACGTGGTCTCTGCCCAGCATGACTGAGATCAGTGTGGACATACATGGGGGAATCAATAGGCAGGTCCTCTGATGGGGGCCAGGCCAGCCATTCTCTGAGCCTGCCTGAGATTATCTCTTTCCCTCTCCCTCTGCTGCCCCCTGCCCAGACTTGGTGAATGAATGAATGAATGAATGGAAGGAGATAGGGTGACTTTACCCATTTTCAGCTCAAGAAACTAAAGCTCAGATAGGTGAGTGACTTATCCTGCTCCCCTCAGCAGCCAGCAATGATGATCTTCACCTGGCAGAGTACGGGAGACATTAAATGAGATGCCCTTTATACATGCAGGGGCTTTCCATGATTCCATCTTATGACATCCATTTGAAGATTTGCTTCTCAACAATCCAGAGGGGACTTTTTGACTCAGGGGTGCTGGGACAGAGTGCAGCAGGAGCAGGAAGACATCAGGCAGAAGCAGCACGCAGGAGAAGAACGAGGACAGGGCTGAACAGGGCAGGAAGCTTGTGCTGTCTGCATGTTGAAACCCGAGGGAATGGCACAGCAGAAGGTCACTGGGTGGGAGGGTTTGGGGTGGGGTGCATTCTTTAGAGACCAAGGCCCTTTCTTTCTTTCTTCCTCTCTTTCTTTCTTTCTTTCTTCTTTCTTCTTTCTTTCAGAGCACGAGTGTGCTGGGTTGAGGAGGGGCAGAGGGAGAAGGAGAGAATCTCAAGCAGACTCCCTGCTGAGTGCAGAGCCCCACACGGGGCTCTATCCCATGACTCTGAAATCATGACCTCAGCTGAAATCAAGAGTTGGACACTTAACTGACTGAGCTACCCAGATGCCCCATTTCTTTCCCCAAGGCCTTTCCAAAAAAGTGCCCAGTCTTGGGTGAAAGCAAAAGAAAAGGAGGTTCTAGGAAAGCAGAATAGAAAACAGAAATAGAAAGAAAGAGGAGGAGGAGGAGGAGGAGGGGAGAAGGGAGAAGAAAAGGGGGAGGGGGAGGGGAGCAGACTTGGGGAAAGGAGGTGAAGAGGAAAGAGGAGAAAGAAGGGGGGCGCTGTGAAGTGCTCTGAACCCCCCTGGCTCCAGCTCAGACTCTGCTCCTTGCCCACTGTGGTTTCTCCATCTGAGAAGTGGGATGTGGCTGGATCTGCGTTTTCCCAGAGTGTGGCAGCCACATGACCACATGATACAAAAACGGGCATATTTCACGTTAATTTAAATATGTCTTATTATGGTGACCCTCTATGATAAAGGGGTGTTATATTTATATAACATAAGATTTTCCCAAAGTAAAAAATACGAGTTGACAAAATAGAATAAAGTAGGTCAACAGGACTAATAGTGTGGATATAGGACAAAAATTGTGACGATAACCCAGGAATAGCTGAAACCTGAGAAACCTGGCCAACGTGCCCTCTGAGGGCCTCTCCCCTCAAACGTGCATCCAGGCAGCAGAGGAGGGAGGAGGAGGAGGTTGGAGACTAAGTGGGCAGCTGGGAGGAGAGGAACAGGAGAGGAAAGCAGAACCATGCCTGGCAGGGAGCAGGGGGCAGTGGTCCTGCCCTTGCGGAATGGCAGCAAGGGAGGCTGTCTGGTTGCCTCTCCTGGGTGAGTCACCCCAAGAACAATGATGTAGCACCAAACCCAAGCTGCATGATGCAGGCCCATGGACAGTAGCCAAGGGGGTAAGGGGACTCCAAGACACATCCCATTGAGAAAGGACTGGAAGAAATGGGCTGTTAGCTTGGACAAGAAATGACTCCAAATACTTGAAGACATGTCCCAGAAAGGGAGAGTTGGCCCCAATGGCCCTAAATAGTGCAAGAGTAGACAGTTGTGAGGGTAGGGTGGTGTGGATCGGGCAGGAGGGCAGCACAAGAGCAGGGCTCAGCTTGCCTATGAAGTTGCTAAGAGCTTCAGATCCCTCTTCCCCATGAATCCACACTTCATCCCCAAGGCAACTGAGCCTTAGAGGTCAGGCAAGGATAGAGCCGGCATTTGAATTGTGTTCTGTCTGAACTCAAGGTTCATGCAGTGCCTCTCACCTGGGAGCTCAGCCTTGATCCTGGGGGCAGCGGGGCCACCCATGCTTTGGATGTGCAGAGTTTAAAAGAGGTCAGATCTGTGGTCTAGTGACATGATTGGATCCACTGGTAGGCGTGGTAGGAAAGGACTGGGGCAGGGAGGCCGGCTGGAGGTTATTGAAGCTGTCCAGGGGAGGGATGATGAGAGACTAAAGCAGGAGCCAGGAGAGGTAAAATTGGCTCCATTCCACCTGTTAGATCTACTTGAAGTGCCTGGAGGAGAGGGAGATGCAGAATCTGGGAGATGCCCCCTGGTGCATTCCAGGTTGTGGGTGACAAGCACCTGCAGGTTTCCTAATACCCACTTCTTGGAACTCAGTCCAGAACCCACCTTTTTAAGCCTCTCCCTAAACCCAGTAACCATGGCCCAGGAGGACCACCCTCTGGATTTGAATATCACCTTCCAGGATGGAAATCTTTGCTCAGCTCTTCAATGGCATTACCAACATTACTTAATTCCTCTGAGCCTTACCGTTCCTGTCTCATCTATAAAAGGGGAAATAACAATTTTCATCTCATAGATTATTACGAGGATTGAACATGATAATTCATGTCAAGTGCTTAGCTCCCAGTCCAGCATAGATCAAGTGCCCCCCTGGCCATTCTTATTTTTATTACAACAACTTGTTTACAAGCCAGTGAGATGATTAAACAATGCACAGGCTCTTCCATGAGCTTTACTATATTACTGCATTTATTTTTTTTTAAAGATTTTATTTATTTATTTATTTGAGAGAGAGAGCACATGAGATG